GCTCCTGGGTTTTTTTCTCTGCTGCTCCACAAAGCCACCATCTATCCATTACAGCAGGATTGCAGCTCTGCAAAAATGACAGATTAGCACTCATTGCTGTTGCTACACTTTGTGCCCATGCAATAGCACACATGCCCACCCATACCTCGCTCCCCTTGCTACACCTGTGCTCAACACTACACCCCTCCCCCCCATGTGTAGGATTTCCCTGTATAGTGCAAGGCCAGTATGCTTACTGGGCACTGCTCCAGCACAGGGCAGAGGCCAGGCAGGAATGCCACTGAAAGTTGTCTCCACAGTCACTGCTGCTGCAGCCACTCCTTTTCTTCCCTGCCAACATGAGTTGGCCTATACCCAGCTGCCTGGCTGCCATGATGTCCCACCAAGCCTTGTCACCGCATGGTGACGCTCCCCCCACTGAGATTCCCCAGCATGCCTCCTTGCTGCCTCACCTCACTGCAGTTCCCCTCTCCTCACCACTGTGCCGTGATGCCCTACCACTCAGCAGGGCAATGTGGTGAGGCAGCAAGGCAGGGCATGGTGAGTCATCATGGTGAGGCAGGGCGTCACAGCAAGACAGTGATGTGGGGGATGGTAGGGCATCACAGTGAGGTGGCAAAGTGGAGCACTTAAGTGAGGCAGGCAGGGTGTGGTGGGGGTGGGTCATGGCAGAGCATCATGGTGACAGGGCAGGTGGATTCTGGTTCCTGACTCCTAATTGAAGAGATCAGAGGAAGCTGCCCCAGATGGTCTAGGGCCTCTGGGATACAAGCAGTCAAGCTCCCAGGGAGCAAGCACCCAGAGAAAGTAAACAGGGAGAGCAAACAGGAGTTTGGTGGTGGAGTTGTAATGGAAGAGAAGACAGAAGCTTGAGATACAACTGAAAGGGAGTGCCTGATTGACTGATTAACTGAAGGAGGGTGGCCTGATCAGACAGCAGCAGCTATGTAGGTGGGCTGATTCATTCTGATTCCTTGCAGAGTAGAACAGAGCAGATCAGTCTCTTTTGTTTTCTAAGAGGCCATATGCTCTGGAAGAGGCAACTGAATGGAAGTTTCTGATTAGCTGATTAACTTATTAACTAAAGGGGAGTGACCTGATCAGATAGCAGCAGTTGTGTGGGTGGGTTGATTCATTCTGGTTCCTGACTCCTAGCAGAGCAGAGCAAGCTGCCCCAGCTGGTCTAGAGTCTGGGATACAAGTAGCCAAGCTCCCAGGGAGTGAGTAAATCAAGAGCAATCAGGAGTTTGGTGGCAGAGTTCAGCAGGGGAGGTCCCTAACCTTCCCCACTCCTTTTTTCTTCTTTCTGTTCCCCTAGTTCTTTCCCCTTAGTCCACCCCACCCCACACACACAAACACTTGTCTTCCTCCTTGGAACTCCCTCCCATTTACTACAAGAACTGTGTTATTAACCTTTAGTGAAGACAGGAGATAGCATGAGTTGTCACAACAGCTCCCCAATCACAAAGGTCACATGAACAATAGACCAGGAAGATTTCACAGTGGTGGTGGCCTGCAACACCTGTGCAATATTTGTTTCCTTACCTGAGGGCAACATGTGCAAGCTAGTTGCCCTGTTCGAAGAAAAGGTGAGAGCACTTAAGCAGCAAGTGTCTGCCTTCCAGATAATAAAAGAAAATGAAGATATTTTAGACAGAGTGGTGGAGCTGCAACAGCTAAGAGTAGAACAGAAGCAAGAAGGGCATCAGCAAGGTGAGGCAGCCGAATAGAACCCTGAAAGAAGGGAAAATGAGGAAACTCCCTGGAAAAGGGTGACAAGGCAGAAGAACTGGAAGACACTCTGCACCAGTGCAAGCAGTGGAACTCTTGAACCTCTTTAAGTTACTTGAGGAAGAGATGAGCGAGAAACCTACTGTGAAAGAAGTAAACAGCACACTGAGTACCTCTGAAAAAGAGATAAAGTCAATCAAGTAAGGAAAAAGAACCAACACCAAAAGGGGAAGAGTGCTAGTTGTGGGCGATTCTGTGTTGCATGAGATGGAAAAACACACCAGGAAGACCTTGGAAACATCAGGTGTGCTGTATCCCTGGAGCAAAGTTCAATGATACAACTAAACAATTACCAATGTTAATGTAGCCTATTGACACACAAAGAGGAAGGACAAGATCTCTTCTTGTCCATTCCAGAGAGCAGGACATGGAATAACAGATCTAAGTTAAAAGAAAGCAGAATAAGACAAGACACCAGGAAGAATTTCCTCGCTGTCAGAGCAGTATGACAATGGAAGCTATTACCTGGGAAAGCTGTGGGCTCTCCCTTGCTGGAGACATTCAAAAAACATTAGGACAGCCATCTGAATGGGATGGTATAACTTAATATTCAGCAATAGCAGGGGGCTCGACCAGATGGTCTTCTGGCCTTTTCTAACTCTACTATTCTATGATTCTATGACATTGGACAGCATGTACTGGCAAGGAAGGAACAGCAACGATGGGGGCAACCTTGCACAGTGCTCCTGCCTGATCGTTGGCCTGTACGGAAGGCCACCATCACTTCACCTCACACATTGCATTGGATGCTTATAAGCCTCCATGTTTGGAGAGTTACAAACATCCGCCATGGAAGTGATTGGATCGAATCCTCAGTAGGTAATTCCCCATACTCAAGAAGGGTTTGTTTGGCAAGGTTTCAATGACACAGCTCATTGGTGGTATAACAACCCCTATGACAACCCATGGGTTATTGGGGTATCTTGTTACCCACAAACAAGCCACCCTGGGGAAATCATTCTGGGTTCATAAAACATGACAACCCATCACTGGCAGCGTTTAGTCAGCAGTACTAAATGCTCACTAATTGCTGATTGGAAGTAGCATTGTTTTATAGTAGGTTACTTAAAAGGATGGAAAATATTTTTGGGGGTACTGACATCCATAATACAATTACAAACCCTAATGAAGATTACAGACACATAGCTTCTCATTGCTGGAACTGCCTAATATTCTTCAGGACTTCTAGATCGCTATCATGTGTGTGCATGTGTATATACTACAGAAATACCAGTTTCAGTCATACTATGCTCATGTCTTGCATCACAGAAGAAAGAGATAAGAGAATACTTGGGATAACCCGGGAGAAGGGAGACAACATAAATAGAAATAATATATCAATGTTGTTAGTTTCCCCATACTCGGAACATTGGTGTATGGACATCCAAGTTCATTTCTGTTGTGCCCTCATTTTCTTCCTACATTTTTTGGGAGACTGATATTAGGCCCTGCTTGAGGTTTTTTCTCTGGTGAAATATATGTCTTTGTCAGATGATGGTATGTCATGCTGCCCATGTCCCTCCCCTCTATATCTTAGTTTAAAGACCATTTGATTAACCTTTTCATGAATTGGCCATGCTTTCCATTCTTTGTGAAGTGTAACCCATCATTTGCTAATAGTTCATCTTCTAGGAACTTTACCTTGTGGTCCAAGAATCCAAACCTATTTTTATGGCACCACTATCATAGCCAGTCATTCACCTGAAGGATTTTTCTTTCCCTATCAGTTCCTCTTTCACATACTGGTATAATTGAGAAGACTATCTGGTCCCTGGTGTTTTTGATTTTCCTCCCTAAAGTTTTAAAGGCTGTTATTTCATCAAAGTTTCTCCTGGCATTGTCATTAGTCCCACACAGATGGGAAGGAAGGGGTATTTGTTCCTGGGCTGTATGAGTTACATGAACTTATTGGTTATATCTTTAAACCTGGTGCTGGGGAGACAGCATGCTTGACAATTTTCTTAGTCATCATGATGAACATATTTTTACATTGCTGATCAAGTGCTCTCACCTTTTCTTCTAACAGGGCTACTAGCTTGCACTTGTTGCATGTGTAGGCCTTGTTGCTCTCAGGTAAGAAAACAAACATTGCACAGATGTTGCAGGTCACCACCACTGTGGAGTCTTCTTGCTCCATTGTTCATGCAACCTTTGTGAGGGACCTATGTGTGGGGAGCTGCTGTAACAATTGGTGCTTTCTCTGGCTCTTTTCAGCCTTGAGGGGACCTGTTAGCAACATACAGGTATGTGAGGGGGTGTCACGCAGAGGTAGGTTGTGACCATTTCTCCCCTGTGGTGGAAGGCAGGATGCTTTCAAATGCAGCAAAGCTCAGGGAACCAAGATTCAAGGTGGATGCCAGGAAGTACTTCCTTATGTTTAGGACCCTTAGGGCATGGAATGGACTTTCACAGAAGGTGGTTGAAGTCCCACTGGTGAGGGTGTTTAAGGATAGGCTGGACATGCACATAGTAGGCATGTCATGAGCAGAGCTGGCTGGAGCCGGGGGTCAAATTAGATGGCCTGGGTGGCCCTTTCTGACTCACTCTGTTTCTATATTTCTTCTGTCTTCACTAAAGGTCAGTGCATTGGTCTAGTATAGTGCTTCCTATGTGGAGCTGTTGTTATGGCTAGTTTGGAAACTGTAACTAGTGTAAAATGCTGCATTAAGGTTATTGAGGGGAGTGCGACAACATGCTCATACAACATCTGTAGTGAAAGAACAGATCTAGCTCCAGTTTACTAGGTTCACCATATTATTATTATTGACATAAAGAGCCCTAAACAACTTAGAATTAGGTAATGTGAGAGATCTACAATATCAAAGGATGCCTTTGTTCATGATGTTCCCTGCACCATACCATCTGGCAACAGGAAGGCAGTGGGCTTTTCCCAGGGTGGCATCCACTACCTGAAATGACCTCTTCTCAGGCACAGTCAATCATGAACTTTCCACAATTATTTAAAATGTATTAATTTATCCTAGCTTTTTCCAATTATTAGCTTGAATTGATGTTGCTGAGGTGGTGTGTGTAATTAGTTGTAAATAACTTGAGAATGTTTAAATGGAAACTGGCATCTCTCTCTCTCTCTCTCTGTGTGTGTGTGTGTGTGTGTGTGTCCAAAATTGAGGTGGATGCGATAATACAAGAAATACATACTGAATCAATAAAAACATGGTAGATGATCAGTACAACCGTGCAAAGGATACTGAAGCTCCGATCTGTAATTGCTAAATGCCAGAGGTTAATCCTGAGGTCATCTGCTGACATGTATGTCTCACAGTCACTGTTGACAGAAATTGAGTTGACATGGTAGGTGTGGCCATTAGCAAAAATTCTTCTGGGACTGACTTCTACCATCAAGTCTATGGGCTTCAGTACTGGCACCTACATTAAGGAAAACAAATAAAATATTTTTATGTTGTACATCTTGCACAATGTACAGGCATTTATACATGGTTTTAGCAAAGAGGATTTTCCTCCCAGTCTATGAAAGTTAGTAATTATTTTACAGTAGTGCTACATCTGTCACCATTCCATATCCCCTCAAAATTAATGCTTAGTTTTGGTCAACACTCCACAATGAATAGAGGTCTTAAAGATAAATCTGAGATACAATAATTCATGTGTACTACCACTTGTAATGCCAACTGTATTTCCTGTTGTAATTTTCCCACTAAAAAGAAGATGGTCCCATCAAATACATTCTCTCATCTTGTGATATGATGCCATCATATTATGGCATCCTTCCTGCTCCTCCTCATTGGCTGTTACAGCCATAGGCAGTCATTAAACAGGGAACTCAATATGGAGTGCAATTTTCAGCTGAATATTTTGTCAATTAGAGATAAGTAATTGCTGGAAATACTGCTGTAACGATTTTGTGGCAACTTCCAGGACCACCAGGACTCTGGATATTGTCATGCATGCTTACAGCAGTATCTAAGGACAAAAATAGACATAATGCAGAGTGCTGTACCTGTGTGAATTTTTAAAGGTAAATAGCAGCCATGAACACTCCCCGCAGTTCAGGATTGGAAAAAAAAAAGAGCAATTTTTGGTTCAGACAGCAGACCCACTGTAGCCCTCAATCCCCACAGATATGATTTGCTTCAGGAGGAAAATTCTCAGTGGAGCCAAAGGGAGATTCATCCTCCTACACATATAAATATTTCTTCTTTCTTTATCCACAGTATTTTCATACCACTCCTCAGTCAAAAAGCTTCCTGGAGTAGCTTACATACTACCAAGTAAACAAGGCCATAGCAACCATCCTCCCCACAACATCTGAACTGGGACCCATAATAAGACCCAGTTCAGATGTTCAGTTAGACAAGAGTTAAATTGTAATGTATTGTAATCCACTTAAGTCTTTGGACTTGTACAGTGGAAAATTATTATTATTATTAATAATATACCACCACTACCCTTCTCCCTTTTGCCACCATCCCAATATGGAAGTTTCCCTGATGATATTTGCTTTTAGAAATCACATAGTTCCTAAGTGATTAATAATCATGACATCTATTTTGGCCCTAAGACCTGGTAAACTGCCTTGCTGAGATATGTTTGGGAAGGAGATAGTAGGCAGGCTCTGAGAAGTCATGAAAGAGAAAACATGCATTTGAGGTTTGCTGGAACTCCTAAATGGATTCAGCTGGACAGATTTTAGAAATCCATTTTCTATCTCTCGCAATCACTCAAATTTCAGGCTTCCTCCTCCTTAACCAAGTTATCAAAACTTATTCAATTGATGTGCACCACAGGATGACTGCATATAAGGTGACTCATTTAACAGATTGTCATACAGTTAAACCTAGATGTATTAAATGTAACAAGTAATAAATTCTTCAAAGTATTATTTCCATTAATTATGGAATGGTATGTGTACATGTTACCTATAAAATTAAAAATACTTAGGTATTCCAGGACACCAACACATAATGAATCAGTGTGGTGTAGCAGAAAAATATGTTTTATTTACACTAGAGAAACCTGAGTTCAAATCCTCATTCAGACATGAAGCTTATTGGATCACTCTGGAAAATTAATATTTTCAGTGTAACTTATATCACAAAGTTATTATGGGTAGAAAATATAATTAAATGCATGCTTGTAAGCCGCCCCGAGGCTTCGACGAATGGGGCGGCATAAAAATGTTTTAATAAATAAATAAATAAATAAATAAATATAGATACAATAAATTAAAATACTATATTGGCATGCTATTGTGTTTCTGTTTGAAGTGCTTCCCTGGTTTGAAGCCATACAGGAGATGCATTAACAGAACATAATAAATTGGAATATGTTCAAAGAAAATCCAACCACTCACCTGAAGTGAGGTCACTGTAGAGAGATCTTTAAGCTTCCCTTCTTCGTCTTTTAAATTGTACCCTTCAGGTTTTTTATCTCGTTCAGTAATCTTCCACAATTTAATAGTTTTATCTTGAAATAAAGGAAACCACCATTCTGATACTAGAAATAGCATTCTTAATTTCTTAGTTATTCAATGATTTTTAAGCAAACCAACTTTGTCAAAGGCTAGATTTAAAACTACCTCATGTTAGCTGACACTACACAAAGTCAGGAAATTAGAAGCTAAGGCATGTTCAGAAGTAATGCTATGCCATGTGGCCAATTATGCCTGCTTACAACTTACCCTTTATGCACCCACACTTTTCCTAGTCTTTCAGGCTCCAGATGGAGAGGAAGGATGGTCAGAACCAACAAAGATGCCCCAGTCTTTCCCCATCCTGAACTTCCTGGCCCTGAATTGCCAGTTGAGTCTTACAGTATTGCTGGAGTAATCTTATGTATGTCACTCAGCAGAGGTATTTAGGGTTGTTGGAAGCTTATCATATGCTGGCCCTATGAAGACTGTAGAACCATCAGGTATGTTTGGAAAGTATCTGGCAGGGCTTAGATGCCAGCATCACAGCACAAGCATCTGGAGCACAGTCTTCCCTAACTTTGTTGGATGAATGTTGGTTAAGCTTAAGGACACTGACAAAGTACTTGGACAAATTCAAGGAATCTCTCCTACACTGAACCTCTGCCCAACTTTGGTTTATAAAAACTGGTAGGAAGGGAAGAGCCAGCTTGGCCAAGAAGATAAATAATGCCTTCTTGCAAGAATGAATGGTCCTGGACCACTTGAAATAGGCAGCAGCAAGACCTTGAGAAAATAATCCTCTGTGGACCCAGAAAATTTTAATTCTGGGACAACAGTTCAAGTTCTTTTCTTGGGTGAGGTCCATGAGTACCTGAGGCTGATTACAGGATCCATTTCAGTCAGGGTTTAGGCTGAGTCTTTGTATGGAAATAGCTTGGCTACCTTGTATTATGACATATCAGAGGGACATGGGAAGTGGGACTGTTGGTAAGGGATGGTCTAGAAAAGTTTTAAATAAATATAAATAAGTGTAATCTCTCAGTAGCTTCTAAAATCATCAGCTGTGGCATCATTCTGAAGCACTTGTCCAAGTTGAGAGTGGAAGGTATTGCCCTGCAGTTCTTTCGCTCAAACTTGCATGGCTAGCTCTAAAACATGGTGTTTGGTTGTAACAGAAAAGGGCCTTTTGAGGCTGGAGAAAAGGCAGAGGTTAAAATCTGGAATTGGCTGGCCAGGTGTGAAAAACAGCAAGCGCCCAGATGGCTGCAATAAAGATGTTTCAGCACCAAGGTTATGCGGGGGTTGAGACAGGAGTGAAGCCTTGATAATTTACAGAATCAGATACTCTCCCTGGAATGGATGCCAGGAGGCAGGAAGGAAGATTTAAAAAAACCATAAAAATGAATGCCTTTGCAGGCCTGGCATCAGGGAGGGGCAAAGGTTGGGAGTGTTCCATGACCCTGGGATCAAAGGGTTTTTGCAGTCCTTGGAGGAGATAAAAAGCCCCACCGATGGACAGCTTGTTGCGCCTCATCGGAAGAGAGATAGATGACCCAACTGCCAGTTGCTGAGGAGACAATCCGACGGTGACTCTGAGGAGGCCAGTTGGTGCAGCAGAGCAGTTTCTTAGGTTTTAGTTTAGTCTGTCTTTGTTGTTTTAGAGTCTGAGATGGTCAAAAGACCCCTAGGAGCGTGAACCTTTGGAAACTGCATTGTTTGCCTACCTCATCCCTTTTCCCCTTTCCCTACTCTTGAGTAGCTGAAGTTATCTGTAGTTTCCCTTTGTGTGTATGTTTGTCTTGTAGACTAATAAAGACTCTTTTCCCCCAAGTCTTGGGTCAATGTGTGCTAATCCAGTGCGGTTTGGCTCCTTAGGAAGCAAACTTAGGCTATTTGGGCCCTAGCAACTGCTAAGAAGGGGGAACTCTCAGCGTTGTCATTGAGGGGTTCTTCACCCAACTGTTACATGGCAGCAGAGGTGGGATTATGACACATGTTGACCCCCATGCTATTAAACATTTACTTGAAACCATTGGCTGGGGTCATCAGGAGTTTTGAAATACACTGTTATCAGCACTGCTGATTACAATTACCTCTGTTGCTCCTTTTTATCTTCATCAAGTGAAGCTGTGGAAATGCTAAATCAGTGCCTGTTTGTAATAATAGTTGGATAAGGGCTAATAAACTAATGTCCAATTTGGACAAGACTGATGCTGTTAGTGCATGGTTCTTCTGTCTGGAGTGAGAAGGTTCAACCTGTTCTAGATAGGGTTGTACTTCCCCTGGAGGAACAGCTCCAATGCTTGGAACTTCTCCAGGAGTCACTGTTGACACTTGGGGCTTGAGTGGCCTCAGCACAGAGCACCTTCTACCACTTTCAGTTGGTTGTCCAATTATGCCTTTATCTGAAAAGGGATAACCAGTCTTGGGTTCTTCATGCTCTGTTAACTTAGTTAACAGAGTTAGATTACTGTAATGGACTACATGTGGGACTACCTTTGAAGGTGGTTAGAAGCTGAAGTTTTTGCAAAATGTAGCAGCCAGATTGATAGCTGGAACTAGAAGGTCTGAATAAATAACATAAATTCTGTAACACAGTTGCACCAGTTGTCTGTAAATCTCTGAAACCAATTCAAGGTGCTGGTTTTTACTTATAAATTCTTATATGGCTTGAAACCACACTCCTTTATGTGGTGCCTTTCCTGTACAAATCTACCTGTATACTATGCTTACCATCTCAGTCCCTCCTCCAACTGCCACTTGGAAGGTGGCAACAATGGAGAGGCCTTCTTGGTGTTGGCCCTCAATTACAGAACGTTCTTACCAGTGATGCTTTCCTGGCATCTTTTTGATGCTAGATTAAGATTTTCCTCTATACTCTCAAGCATTCAATAGCCTATGTTAAGGTTTTTAATAGGTCTGGTAATTGTTTTAAAATAGTTTCTTTCTGTACTTCATACATACATACATACATACATACATACATATATATATATATATATATATATGAAGGTTAATCTTTCAAAACTGCCCACAAAACTCTGGCTGTAGATGCAATGAATGCAATGAATGAGATGAAATGCAAATAGCCATGTAATTAAGTATGTCCCAAACTAGGTTTTATCTCCTGATGATGTTGTGATCCCACCATATGCCCTTTCTTTTTAAGATGTTTTATTTGCATACTTAAGTTCTATAAATAAAGGAAAAAGAACAAAAGGGAAACCAGAACTATTTATTCACCACCCCTTGATGTAAAAGCAAATCCCAATACGGTTCCCTTCTGTTACCACCTTTTCAGGTAGGAGTATATATTCCAAGAAGTAGCTGTAGCTAAGCAGTTGCTCTGAGTAGGTTTTTACTAGTGAGTGGTGAGGAGGAGCCTGGAACAAACCAAGTTTAGATCTCTTCGGGTGGTAATTCCTTTCAGCTGGAAAGAAGTGAAGAAGTGCTCTTTACCCCTTAGCTAAGAAGGCTACCTCTGCTGAGGAGTAAAGACAAGAGCAACAGTGACAAGCTGATCCACTGTCTCCCCTGGGGTAAGCACACTGTCTGGAAGCAGGCACTGTATTATCACGGTGTCATGTCTAACATGGCCCAGGTCCTGGAGGCTTTTTCTGACTTGAACCTTCTATTACAGAGGAGGGTCCTACAGTCCAGCATTGCTCCAGCCAACGCCAGGACTCACCAAATAGGAAGGACTGAATAGAGCCAAACACCCTTCAGAAAATCTTCCCTTGGTGGAATTGGAGGGACAGGTCGAGTCACTTCACAGGGCCAAAGAATTGGGACTGCCAGAAAATGTATGCAGAGGCACCTCTTGGAGGTGAAGTGTGTATCGTGAAGCAGAAATCAGATGGTCTACTCAAGAGGAAGTATCTCCACAGGAACAGGAAAATTCTGAAGGCAGGATTAACTGTTGCAACTATTAATGCATGTGGGAAGGGAGACATGAATATGTAAGCTTTCAGTTGAGGCTTGATGCTTATTCAAACAACACCTTACTTTTAGTTCCTAGTATGTTGCAAATTAGCTTTCCTAGCCCTGTTTCTTCTCTTGATTGTCCCATGCTGGACTCCTGCCAAAACCTTGTGCCTGCTTTAGTTTGGGTTTGCTCCCTTATTGACCATGGTGGTAACATGGTGTTTTCTGACATCTGGGTTTGCTTCAGGACAGATTTTTTTTCCTGAGCCATAGCACAAAGTGTATTTGAGTCCTTGCAAGGCTAGAGAAAACACCTCATTTTGAGGGTTGATGTTACTATTCTCTAGATTCAACCAACCCAACCCCAATGGAACTGTCCTGGGCCACCAGTTAAAAAGCTAAAAGGGTTGTAGTTCATTTAAAACCTGCAACTGTCATGCTTTGAGTGCATTCACACAAATATGGGTGCTGCACCTGCACAGTGCCTGTTGCCAGGAAGATTTAAGAGGTTTAATGGTTTTGGTGGGAACTCCATGCCCCCCTCCCCTATAGTATAAATGGGCAGAGTGCCCACCCCTTCACCAGTCAGCTGAAGACCACCCGTTCACCCCCAGCTGGAACCGGCAGGTATAGGACCCTGCTCCATAAAAGGAAGTATAAAGGTATACAGTATACCCAGTCACCGACACCGAAGTGGGGCCAGTGGGCAGGTTGTGTGAATGCAGAGATGACTGCTTGAAGAATGACAGTTACAAGTAAGCAACCTTCCTTTCTTTGTTGTGGTCTCCATGCATCACAAATATATGGGTGATTAACAAGCTTACCACACCCGGTGGTGGGACGATGTTGTCACTGGAGAACTGTGGACAACATGGCATGGCCAAAGGAGCAGTCCTGTCTGGCCTTGACTTTTAAGCAATAGTGCTTTGTGAATGTGCATGGGGTAGACCACATGGCCGCTATGCAGATATTGTGTAGTGGAATGCCTGCATGGAGGGCAGAAGAAGCTGCGATAGCAATCATGGAATGACCTTTCAGAGTAACAGGTAAGTCCAGTTTGAAGAGGCGGTAAGCAAGTTCAATTGTCCCAATGATCCATTTCAAGATTCTTTGAGTGCCAACTGTCATG